CATGTAGCAAATGTGGAGAAGAGGAATGCATGTAGGATATTGGTGGGAAGCCAGAAGGAAAGAGACATCTGGGAAGACAAAGACATAAGTCGGCGGATAGTATTAAAATGTATCTTAGAGAAATTGGATGGTATGGATTGGATTGAAGTTGCTTAGGATATGGACCAGTGGAGAACTTGTGAACACGGTAATAAACCTTCGGGTTCCATAAAATGCTGGGAACTTCTTTAATCGCTGCACAATTGACAAATTCTCAAAAAGGGCTAATACTGGCTTAAGACTCACCTAAGTTGACAATTTCGAAGCTATTTATATAAGAATTCTCATTTGTGACATCATGGAAATAGAGTGATAATCTGCGCTGTTGGTGGAATTCAAATTGTTCGCTTCTCCACAATTCCCCCCTTATGATCTGCACTGATCCTAAACTTATAATAGCTTAAAGCGGCCGCGTGTCCTTTATCTATGGGGATAACTTATCTTTTCTGTTCCAAGTCGAACTCAGCTTCTGTATAAATTGATTTCTGTTAAATCTACTCATTACCCTGCTAAACAAAGCAATATGTCGTTTGATTTTACATAATCGTCTTAATAAAATCGAAATGCTGTAACTAAATTTTGAACAAAAAAATACATGCATATGAATACACATTAATTAATTAATTATACCAGCGAAATTTTTCCCACGTTTCACTCCAGAGTTCTGAACCTCTTTACACTACAAACACTTCCCAACGCAAACAGGAAACATTTCTTTAAGAATGTGCCTTCCACTGAGTCCTTTGCCCCACAAAAAAAACACACACACAAAGTAACACTGTAATTTGGTTGTATATTCCTCAAACACGGTCGCCATTTTGACTACTAAAACCAACCTCTGGACGTTCGCATGCTCATCTGCTACCAAGATTCTCGTGAAGCTGGACTGTGCTGCTACCTAGTGATACACAGAAAACTTATTACATCAATTTTACTCGCATAACTACCTATTTACTCTCCCTCGTAGAAAACATACATTGGGGAACAGAGCTCTTAGTTGCACAGCCTCAGTGTAAAGCCAAAGAGAAAATTTCTCAAAGGTAATTGGTTACTCAGTTTTCATACCCATGTGTTTTTCTTTCATTACTCACTGAAGCAGGTCATAAAATGAACTTCTGTTTTTCAGATGCAATCCTCAAGGTTTAACCGGAGTTGTGACCATAAACCTAAAGACCTTCTAGAAGTAAAGGTGCCAGAAACTTACGCTTGTCCTTTTCCATTTGCACATATTGTATTGAGTCTAGTATTTTGTATAATGTGAGTGTGACGTCACTTTTACTCTTTGCTTATATCCGCTGGCATTTGAATACACCATTGTTAGTTTTGTGTTTGCGGGATGATTAGAGTCGAATATCCTTCATTCAGTCACTCGTCTTACGAAAGGAATGCATCCATTGATGATTGTTCGTTAACCGAAATTCCGTCAAACTAAAATAAATATATCATGAATTTAAAGAGAATAAATATTGATACGTGACGTGAAGTAATACATATGTATTTAAGAGTAAATGGAGAAGAATATATGTATATATCTATGCATTTATTCCTGTATACAGAGTGTCCCAGGAGTTTGGTGCCATACTTCAGGAGCGTACTGAAGGTTCCCTATAGAATAATTTTGAAATAGGAACCCATGTCCGCAAACGTAAAATAGCAGCGCTAGGGCGGCATTTAAAATCATTTCATTTAAACTTGGTGCCTCTATGTCGAACTGCATTGCATAGAGGAACAGCCATCCACCAGCACTCGTGTTATTGCCAGGATTGTGGGGACATCAAAATCAAGTGTTTGGAGGATCCTGCAAGACCAACAACTTTATCCGTATCATCCAACGCGAGTACATGACATAGGTCCAGCTGACTTCGTATCACGAGTTCAATTTTGTCAGTAGATACTGAACCAGCGTTTACATCAGCCCAACTTCCTGAATCACATGTTATTCACAGAAGAAGCGCAGTTTACAATGGATGGCTGGTTCAACTGTCGAAACAGCTACGTTTGGGCTGACGAAAACCGCAACGTTACTGTAGTTGGTTACCATCCGGCGCAAATTTCTGTCAATGTCTGGTCGGGCATCATTGGCGATCGCTTGATTGGGCCTTTCCTCCTACCACCGCGACGCAACGGGCCCTTTTACAAGGTATTCCTGGAACGTATCCTTCTGACTTTGCTAGAAGACGTGCCACTGATTGTGCGGAGGCAAATGTGGACACAGCATGACGGAGAGCCGGCACACTTCAGCATTGTATCACGAGACTACCTGGATTCTGCTTTTCATGGTCGTTGAATAGGAAGAGGAGGCCCAGTGACTTTGCCACCCCGATCCCCAGACTTGACACCTCTGGACTATTTCGTCTGGGGCCATGTGAAAAGCCTGATCTACGGCACGCCTGTGGATAAGGAATTCGAGCTGTTGGCCAGAATACTTGTTGCATGTGACGTGATCCGTGAGACAACTGGACTATTTGAAAGGGTGAGCCAAAGTTTCTTTCGTCGATGTAATGCAACATTGAAAATGGAAGGCGCCAATTCCAACATCTACTCTAGCAGGTGAGTCTTAAGCGTCTTAAGAGTTTGGAGGGGATAATATGCCTGTGCATGCTCTTCAACATTGAGTTTAAACAAAATGATATTAAATGCCGCCATAGCGCTGCTATTTTACGTTTGCGGACATGGGTTCCTATTTCAAAGTTGTTCTATAGGGAACCATCAGTACGCTCCTGAAGTATGGCACCAAGCACCTGGGACATCCTGTATATACTCGTACTATATACACGTAGAAGCTTGAAGCTTTCTATTTTGTCTTTACTGTCTTTATTCTGTTCTTATGTAGAGGCCGCTATTACCAACGACCGCCAGGCTGCTGTGACAGGTACCTATGTTTCAGTGACAGTTCAGTCTCAACCTTTCCCGAAAGCTAATATACGCTCTTGATAACGTGTGTATTCAGTGTAATGCTCATTTAAGGCATAAAAATGGATGGACAGATGTGTGGAAGCTGTAGCCGGAGATGGAATTGCCCTTTTCAACGGTTCCAACGGATTGTTGAATTTCAGTCATGGAGAATAATATGCAGCTAGGTATTTATGTACAAGACAAGATTACAAAGTATTCATGAAGGAAAGCGGAGTGTACGGTAAGAAGCTATTAGTGAGATTATAAATTGCCTGTCAGCATTTATTTTGTGTCAGAAGGTTAGACCATTCAACCACAGACTGTTTTAACGATGTGGGAATGAGGAAAACTTTGCCTTTACCGAGACTGGAACTCTGACCTTTCAGCCATCCAGCCCGTAGCCAGTCGCTATCCCGGCTACTGCATATGATTTAATGTTTCAATATTCTTCATAATTTTAATCGGTCGCTTTATCTAAAATAAGACATCCCCCAGGATTCCATAATGTTACTTGCCTTTCTTAGACAAGCTACATTTTCTTTTCTGATAATGTAGTATGAATATCACGGACACTGACCTGTCATTTATAATTCCTTTCGCCGAACGAGGGCGGAATTGTGCACTATATACTTTTACAGTCTTATTACTAATTCAGACTCTTTCCAGAATGATTAAATCCTTCTGTGGATATAGAGGTCGGGATTTCTTAAAGTTATGTGTGTGGGTGGCACTAAAAGAGAAGAGAATGTTCTAGGCTAAAGACGTATACGTTTGTGTGTTCATATAATAACATACTCATATGCGTTTTCTCTAAGTGAATGAAAATTGAGAGTAAAACAATAATGGCAACCGGATATAAGCTTTTAAAATTTTGTTGTCGACGTACCGCCTTTGAAAACCTGTACTTCACGCCTTCAAATTGCAGAAATTAACGCAATTAATGGATACTCCAACAACAACAACAACAACAACAACAATAATAATAAAGTAGTCCTGGAAAAAACTGATGGCTTTTCCTTTCCTTTATACAAGGAATGTCGGTTATTATATACAGTACTGATACATTTACATGCATAATGGACACTGACATAAATAAAAATTTGCCTGGCATAAACATAATTTTGTGTTCCGTCGCCACATCTCTAACACCTCTGGTACGGAGGCTTAATTTGAAACCACATTTATAAGGTTGTAAACATGAATGTCTCTTTAATCTTAGAAGTTTAGATTGTAATTATTGCTCAACTGGTCATCTATAAATTGTAGACTGGAGAGTGTTGTTAATTTTTAATTATGGAATTACCGTATTTACGCATGTATAGGCCGCGTGCGTGTATAGGCCGCAGCACAATTTTCAGACAGAAATTATAGAAAAAATAATTTCAGTTTTCGTCTTTTTCAGGAGTTACTAATTATGAATATATATATTTTTTAATGAATTGTGATTTCGAATATTTCGAATATAAGCCGCACCCCAGTTTTCGTCTTGAATTTTTGGCAAAAAATGTGCGGCCTATACATGCGTAAATACGGTAGTATGGATACGTGTGAGCCTGATACATATGTTATGCATATTCTGTAATTTGCCACATTTATCAGTCAACATTTTAAATTGTGGTCATTTGAATGGTACATGTGACAGTAGCCCTATTAGGAACCTAAATAGCTCAGTCAGTATAGTGACTAAGTTACTGAATGTGTAACAAGGGAAATCGGGGTTTTAATCGCGGGAGATTTCCTACAACCGTCCAGAACGGCGCTGTAATTCACCCAGCCTCCTGTCCAATGAGTGCCAGGAGGAAAGCGGCCGGGCCGTGAGGCTGACTACTCACCTCCATGTTGTTCCGAAGTTAAAACATGAAGTTATGTATCCACTATCTGATACAACTTCATTAAGCACACTGACAAATTTACCTTTACATTAATTATTTATAAACTAGTGTCATATTATCTACAGGGGACTTCCAGGTTCAACATGTGACCACCAGGAGGGCGAAAAGTTGTTTCATCACTCACGCGATTCGCGCGCTCTATTCCCTCTATTCAGTTCTCCACGAGAAGTGGACCAGTACAGAAGGTGGGACATAGACGATATACAGAACAGTCCATGAGAGATTTCTAAGTACAAAAGAAGTGAATCGATCATCGTCTGAAATTACTCTGACAGAAACTTCAGTTCTTACACCCAGACAGACCTGAACAGCGAATAAGCGATGCGTGACTGATGGCATAGAAGTAAGTAACGTGGGGTTGACTTTTATAACCTGAACTGCAGTTTACATTTTATATACACAGCGAGTTACAAAGTGTTGCTTGTTTAATAATTCCAATATATACTAATGGAGTTACCTTTGTAAAACGTAAGTAAAGTAACGGTATCCCTGTAACAGGCCGTGGAGTCCCATAGGGTTGTGAGATGTTGAGGTTCCCACACTTTCTAGACAATCGGCTCATAGATGGCGGCACGGTTGTCAGCCCTACGCGCCGGTCGCCCTTTACCCCCAAGAATATTCCAAGAATATTCCTGGTACTCATTTCTGTTAGAGGCTGAGTCGACCCCAGGGCCATAGTGCGGCTGGAAGTATTAGGTCAATTGAAAGAAAAAATCCAGTGACCTCATCGGGACTTTAACCCGCGACCTTCCGGCTGGTAGCATAGTGCTTCATCCAACTACGCTACCTCGTGCCCCTGAAGTTACCTTTGTTGATATATTAAATATTCAAACTGTTCAGTTCAAACATGTTACGGGTCAGTAAGTCAATAATTTGCCAGCTTGTATTCTGGATTATAACCTCAATATATTTCCGGGTAAAGTACAATATTCAATTTCATAAATACATTATTATTATTATTATTATTATTATTATTATTATTA